CATACGCACATACGCACATACGCACATACGCACATACGCACATACGCACATACGCACATACGCACATACGCACATACCTGGCTTTAGACTATCTCCGTAAATAACATTGTACTGATCATGCCGAAATCAATAACTTATCGAATCGGCTGAATAACTATTCAGTTAGTTTTTCATAAGGTATCCCAGGAATAATGATAACAGCTGTAAGATCCGGATCTTATTATGAAGATCCGGATCCTATTATTAAGATCCGGATCTTATGATTAGGATCCGGATCCTATTATTACAGCTGTTTTCATAATTCCTGGGACACCTGTAAAAAAATTAGCCGAATGATTTTCGGCCGATCCGGTTAATTTATTATTTCGGCATAATAGATTCACGTACAAATTTTATTGAATATATTATGCCGAAATAATAAATTAACCGGATCGGCCGAAAATCACTCGGCTAATTTTTTACAGGTGTCCCAGGAATTACAGCTGTTTTCATAATTCCGAATGATTTTCGGCCGATCCGGTTAATTTATTATTTCGGAAGATCAATAAAAATTGGTATGTAAATTAACCGGATCGGTCGAAAATCATTCTGCTAATTTTTTACAGGTGTCCCAGGAATTATGAAAACAGCTGTATGAAAACAGCTGTAATAATATGGTCGACCGGCCCGAGTAATTTTGTCGGCCGGGTCGGCCCAAGCGTTTGGCATCGGCCCGTATCACTATATCAGACATATGAATTTATTATAATGACGCACCCTCACCCTGGGACAGTAGTTATTTCGGTCAAAAATTGTTAGTGGTCAAAATTTTCAAATTTTGGGGTATTTCATAAATTCGCTATAATGTTATATTTTATTAAATTTGGTTAAATATTTTAAAAAAAATTATATATATATAAATCAAAATCAAATTACTGAATTAATAGTATTAAAGCAAAAAAAACTATACAGTATATTATAAATTAGATTTTTATACCATGATTACTTAAAAGAATAAAAACAAATTTAACCAACTATCGAATAAGCGATACTTTTTTTTAATGAGAACAAGCAAAATAAAACATAAAAACACTTAACCATAAACATTAATATATAGTTGATACGTATTATAATGTTAGTAATTATTGGCATTAGTTTCTTACGTATTCGCAATATGTAGTAAATTTTTTAAATTTATATAAATAAAGATAAGGCTTTCTAAACATTGAAACTCAATTTCAAGTGATTTCTATATATAAATTTAACATGTAATAAATAACTTACCTTATTAACCCTAATTAACTAATAAACGTATCGTTGCTTATTATAATAATACCCTTTTTGTTAATGTTAACGTCGTCGTTGTTGAATCCGTGTTTCATTCAAAATGCATGATGGTGGTTATAGTTACACGACGACAACTATTTAGATGTCAAATGTAGAAAATCATTAGCGGATGTTTATCGGAAATTCAATTCAACGAAACAAGATGTTCGGAATTCGTAAAATAAAATGCTTTTGATATATTATTCATTGAATCAAACCTCTGCATCTATTATTCTGATTTGGTGATATATAAAACGCGCGTCGTTATATGTTAATACTATATTAAGTATCCATGTTACGGAACACTATATCTTGTAAATGAGTGCAGAGCTTAAGCGGATTATTTATTTGGTACATCGTATGTACGTACGTGCGTACGTCCATAATATTGTATCTGTGTTCTCAGAATGTAACCGTATAGTGATCCAATTACGTAAGGTAACAATTTTTCAGAGGTTAATTCCCGATATGATGTAACTTTAAGTTCGTACAAAAGCATGTATGCATGTGCATATTGCGAGCTGGAGTATATCAGATATCAGATATGGTACAATAGTACGGTACGGAACCGCAAAGTAGGACAGTTGTAAAAAAAACTTTTTTTCAAAGTTAACCCTAACACGAGAAAGAAGAATATTAGCACTTGACCATTAAAAAATGGGGGTATTAAACTTTATACTATATATATACTCGCACGAAGTAACGCCTCGGGGGCATTATTTTTGAGACACAATTTAAAGAGAATCTAAAGAAAATTAACTTGGCTGAAAGTGAATAAATTTTTTTAAAAAAAAAAATCTTAGCTAAATTATTATCATATTGTATGTATATATATACTAACTTAAAATTATCATATACTGACCTAAAATTATCAAAAAAAAAAAAAAATTTTTATTAAATGTTTGAAAATTTTTTTTGCTAGCTGCTAGTACTAAGTAATTTTAAATCAATATACATATATAGTAATAGATATCAGTATACGTACATATATAGTAGAATGTATAAATTTCTTTACCATTTTGAAAATGAATAGAAAAAAAAAATTCCTTGCTCACCAAAGTTGTGTGTTTCAAAACAACGCCTGGGGCGTTATTTCGCGCAAATACAGCAAGTCAATGTCTGTCCGAATTTGTATTATGGTACAGTATTACTACTTTACCAAATACTATTTGACTAATACTAACTATAACCATTGTTTTTTTAAACTTATCCCTTTTATTAAATTCTTCCAGCTTACGGAATTTTATATTACTTGTACATGTGATGATTCTTAAAATTATTAAAGATTTTCTGAATATCGATTCGCTTTAATTACTTAATCTGTGGACTTTTAATCAGCAGAGTGACAGAACTAATGCAAAAAGGCGCTACATGATTTCCAGAAAAGGTTGTGAACATTTGTTTATACCCGCTGAATGGTCTAGAATATGCGTGATTATTATGATTGATTTTATTAAGTATTTTTTTGTTGATATGTGGTCAGGTTTTTCATGTAACCATTAAATATTAAAATAAAAGGATTCGGTAACGGTGTAGATTTATTTTTTTCCACTCTCTCCAATAACGATAAAACGTTTCCTATTTGTATTGGAAATGATCTTCAAAAAGTACCAAATATATGCTGTACAATTTTTTTATATCTTTATCTACTAAATTTGCCATCCTTTTCTTTAAAAAATTTATTCATTTAAAATTCAATAATTAAAAATAAAAGAGTATATTCATCGCTCTTTTAATTACATTAAAAAGATGGCTCTTTTTTTTAGAGATCATAGTTGCTCCGTGGCTGTTATCCTTATCACACTAGTTCAAATATTTTATATAATATATACTTATACATTTGTAGACCTTATACCTACTACTGACGAGTCGGTTGTTTTAAAAGAGTTAAGACCTTTACGTCCCACTGTTTTAAAGCATCGTCCTCATGATGGTTACGTTGTTAACCTGACCCTCATTAACAAATATTGTGAACCTGAATTATATGATGCTGATTATTTTGACACTTTTAATATTCAAGATTGTTTAGATTATCTAGACGAGCAAGAAGATGATTATTTGGTAGAGAATCCAAACTCAAAAATTACTTGCTCTCCAGACAGCGTGCCAATGTTATTTCATGTTTATTGGCGAGGAAGAATAAATGATAAGATTGCGTTGATGATAAAATCTTTTTTATACACTCAACCCCTAGATTGTTCTCTGTTAAACGTTTGGTTAGACCAAAACCAGGAAACTGACTTTAGTCAAAATCCTCATATACAACCTTTACTCAAATTCTCTCCAAATAATTTCCGTTTGAGAAGGTGGAATCTTACTGAACAGCTTAGCTACGATCCAATATACGACGGATGGGAGGAAAAGATTAACAGAAAAATTCCGACCGTTGGATACAGCGACCTTGTCCGGTTTGTATTATTGTATAGATATGGTGGAATGTATGTTGATGCTGATGTTCTCTTCCTACGTGATATGAGACCTGTTTATCACCTTGATCAAGAATTTGCTTATCGTTGGAGTTTCTGGCTTAATTACAATACTGCCATTCTACGTCTAAATGCAAAAAGTGAGACCGTACGTACCGTTGTCGAAAATGCTATGCAGCACAAGATGAATTTCCACCCGTTCCAAATAAAGTATTATCTTATCAAAAAGCAAGTTGTTGTCAAGCAGGACTTGGACAAGTATCTTTACATGATGCCGACAACAATATTTGATCCACTATGGCTAAAAGTTGATTTGCAATTATCCAACCAAGTCACAAAACCTAATATAAATTATTTCTATGATACTTATAAATCAAATGTGGCTGATGACGAATTCCCTTCTGGCCATCAGGCTTCCACTTCTATGAGGAATAAGAAAGAATTTTTCAGAGGTGCTTTTACTTATCATTGGCATAACCAATGGGAAAGTGCGATTCCTTATCAGTCTTGGTTCGGAATATTACAAAAAGGATACGATGAATTTATAAATGGTCAATCTCCAAATATGTACAATGAATATATAAATGAATTTCATGAAGATATAATTTAGTGTACTATCTATTTTTAATTTGTAGATATTTTAAACTTAATAATTTTAGAACTTTTATAATTTGCTCTTTTCTCTTAATTTTTTTTTCATTTTTTCTTTTTGATTCGTTGGGTCATCTAAAAAAAAAATTTTTAATTACAAAATATTTTACAAAAAAAAAAACCAAAAAAAATTCTCTCTTTACCATTAAAGGACATACAAAATTAATTAGACATTTTAATTCTATTAATTCTATTAAGGTTAAATTATGGTTCATTTTATATAACATACGAAAGTTAGGATTATATCTCTAATGTGCCCACTCTTCGGGAACATGCATTGGAGCCTGTTATTTGTATGTATATA